GCAGCCTTGTCTTATCAATTATTGAACGGGGCTACTGGATGCCATGGAAACAAGGACCGCCACAACCATTTCAGTGCTCCAATCATGCTGGAACCTATGCTCACATGGATTTTACGCGATCAGCCATCATAGATCTCCTTCAAACCGGCGCAGCAATCGAGGTGCCAGCATCGGAGCTCGCATGCATTAGTCCCCTCAACGTCGTCGAGCAGCGAGACAAGTGTCGCCTCATCCTAGATCTACGTAAAGTTAATAACGAGCTGTGCATTCCGAAGTTCAAGTACGAAGGACTCCCTCGCGTGGCGGAACTTGCACATCCGGGGGATTGGATGTTTTCAATTGATCTCAAGTCGGGTTACCACCACGTTGACATCCACGCGTCCTGCTGGAAATTCTTGGGTTTTCAGTTCGAGGGGCGTTCATACTGTTTCAGATCACTCCCGTTCGGACTAGCGACGGCGCCTTTCGTCTTTACTCAATTGATCAAGCAGTTGGCACGTCGATGGCGAGCAACAGGGGTCCGCGTTATTCCATACGTGGACGACATTCTCTTTCTGTGCCACACAGAAGCCGAGGCTCGAGATGTCTGCACCCGCACGATCACGGACCTAAGAGAAGCGGGCCTCGTGATCAATGCAAAAAAGTCTCATCTCCATCCTACTCAGCAGCTAAGATTCTTAGGATTGGAGCTCGATACCCAGCGGGGACAATTTTCTGTCGGCACGGAGCGACGAAGCGTCCTGCAATCTACCATCGCTTCATTATTGGCCGCAGGACGTGCACAGCACAAAGTCCCAGTACGGCAAGTCGCACGTATCACAGGCATGCTCGCCTCCATGAACCTTGCCCTTGGGGCGACAGCGCGAGCATTCAGTCACGCATTACTACAAACCATCGATGATGCGCCTTCATGGAACAGCAGGTTGTTACTACCCCCGAGTGCTTGCGAAGAGTTGGAGTTCTGGTCAATCGAGTTCGACCACTTCAATGGAGCCCCATTTCATGTTCGCGGTAGCTACGACGCAATCATTCATGTCGACGCCAGCGCGCACAGCTGGGGGGCCACACTCGACACGTTCTCCACAAATACTCATAAGGCCTGCGCGAACATGCCCCCGGAACTACTTGGCACGTCCAGTACTCGTCGTGAGCTCGAAGGGGTGCTCTGGGCACTGCAAACTTTCACAAGCTTCATCCAGAACAAGCATGTGCTCGTGCGCGTCGACAACCAGGGCGTATTCTTTATTCTAAAAAATGGTGGATCGCGCAACAGCTGTCTCACCACCGCATGCAAAGCCATCATTCGCACCTGCATGACCCGTCGCATTCGCTTGATCATGGAATGGATCCCTCGCGAGCTTAACACGCTCGCGGATGAGCTCTCGAAGACTCTCGACCGAGACGACTACACCTTGAAGACCCCATGGTTTAACCTTCTCGAGCGACGTTGGGGGCCGCACTCCATAGATCTCTTCGCCAGTGCTACGAATGCCAAGCTCCCCCGATTTTGCTGCGAACACCCACATCCCAAGGCCCTAGCGATCAACGCCTTCGCAACATCCTGGGCTGACGAACATGGTTTCGCCTTTCCACCACCATAGCTGATCCCGGCAGTCCTTCACCACGCACAAAGGACATCAGCCTCACTGACGCTCATTGTTCCCTTCTGGCCCGGGGCTAGTTGGTGGCCACTCCTCCAACCTTCGCCACACGCCTGGGCCTCGCCGATCCGTGATTGCCTGAAACTTACTCACGGGAGTCAATGCCTCGCACCAGGCACGCACACCACGGCATTCTCGGGCTCCGGCCTACCACATAGCATGATGATGGCCTTGCGCATCTCCTTCCGTTAACAATTTTGCTTGCATCCTCTCTAATCGCTTCAGGATTACTCCGCTCGCTGCAGAGCCAATTGCTCACAATGATGCTGAAAACGCGTGCGGAATCTACGATCAAGACTTACGATCCATACTGGCAGCAGTTCCGCTCATTCTGCATCAAGACTAAACTACAGTACCTGCCCGCACGAGATATGACACTCGCGCTGTACCTCGTCTACGCCATTCGCCACTAGGCCACATTCTCGGTGGTGCAACTCACTTGCTCGGCGGTTGGTTTTGCCCATCGCATGATTGGAGCCGCCTGCCCTACCATCGGCCCCATGACATCTCAAGTCCGAGAATTTGCCAAGCGCCACTGCCCGCGACCCCACCGGACCAAAGAACCGGTGTCGCTTCACCAAGTGCACTCCATGGCCGCACACTTCATTAGCTCGGACGACCCATCCACCTTTCAAAAAGGACTCATACCACTTCTCATGTACGCCGGCTTCCTTCGGTATTCGGATCTCGCCGCCATCTGCTGGAATGATATTCAGTTCGAAAACGATGCCATGTGGTTACTCATCCCGCGCTCGAAGACCGACCAAGAAGGGAAGGGCTCATGGGTGCCCATTGCCGCAAGCCAGGGACCTTTCTGCCCCGTCCGATGCACGAAGCACTTCATCCAGCTAGCACGATATGGTCCTGCCACTCCAGGGCCATTAATCCGGGTGTTTGGTTCGGCCACGAGCAACTCACTCCCAGTCAAACCACCATCGTATACCACAATACGCAACTGGTGCAAGGAAGCTTTTCATGCCATCGGACTCGGCGACCACGCGCTCGGCACACACTCTTTTCGCAAAGGAGCGGCAACTGTAGCGGCAAACGCAGGAATTGAGGATCGGCTCTTCAAACAACTAGGCCGATGGCGCAGTGAAATGGCGAAGGAAATGTATGTGACCCCCACTGCCGATCGTTTGATTGATGCCTCTCGCAACCTCCAATCAACGGCTCACGCGCCATCACCAGCACAACATTCCAGAGCCCTCAAGCGCCACCGTCAGGCACCCTTGCACATGTCTCAGCGTCACCCATTGTAATGAGAACGATGCCAATTGCGACAGAAGCAAGCTTTCTCAATATATTTTTTTTTTAAGCGTTTTATCGCTTTCAAATTTGCGTATTGTGAAAGCGAAGCTGACTGTAACGCAATTTGTGCATCGTCGAAGCGCGGTATTCGCCTTCTCCGAATATATAATGTGGGCTGGGGTCATTCTTCCCCCACCCACGTCTCTCATTTTACAATCGCTCAAGTTCAATTCCCACCCACCCTCCCCAGGCTAGTCAGCTTATGAGAGTAGTAGTTCTTAGACATTTTGGATGTGATAGTATATTAGTATAACTGCTAGGAACTGTTGTACTTGAACCCATTGTAATGAGAACGATGCCAATTGCGACAGAAGCAAGCTTTCTCAATGTAGCAAAATACGGAAATCCTTGAATGAGCACCTAACCACGCTGCATGAGTGCTTCAGTCCTGTCCGAAGTGAATGACGGGGGTAAGCGCATGAGTGTAAAACATGTGTGATGATGATGCGAACAGGTGTGTGATGATGACAGGAACAGGTTGATTACGACAACAGATTTGATCATGATAAGAACAGGTGTGGTTATGACAAGGGCGCAACCGCAGTCGAGGGGAAGGTGGTGCAGGCAGTGGGTAAGAAGGGTGGGAGGGATGGAAGGAGGGAAGACACACGGTAAATCAAAATAGAACATGCACAATCGAAATAGAGTTAGCCAGAAAAGTGAGAGGAAGCCACCATCAGCTGCCATTCAGGTCATTGGCAAGACACAGACACGCCAGCCAAGTTGACACAGACACGCCAGCCAAGTTGACACAGACACGCCAGCCAAGTTGACACAGACACGCCAGCCAAGTTGACACAGACACGCCAGCCAAGTTGACACAGACACGCCAGCCAAGTTGACACAGACACGCCAGCCAAGTTGACACAGACACGCCAGCCAAGTTGACACAGACACGCCAGCCAAGTTGTTAGCAGGAAACACATAAGCCAGCATATTAATCTTAAGCACAAACAAGCAGCAGTTACACATACCAGTGATCTTAGCCACATTAGTCCCCCACGTGCTGCAAGGCATTGAAAGAAGCCGAAAAGTGAGTCTTGGCTTTCTATGCAAGTTAGCTAGGCATGATAATTCTGCTCACACTGGCTTTCAACTTTTCGCCGTGTCCACCTTCCAACTTGCCTTGCCACTGTTACCACTGACCTTTCCACCCCCCTTCCTGCTGGTCCTGCCGGGGCATGTGAGCTTGTGGGAGGGCCAGTGCGCCTTTTGGCACTCTCTGCTGCAATACGCCACCCGGCCACACCCACTGCAGCTCCTTAGCTTCACACCACCACCCTCTCCAATCCCACACCCTGCAGCATTGCACCTACTTCCCTTGCAAGAATCAGGTCCAGAGACCTCTGCGCCTGCTATGGGTGCAGGTGCAGATGCACGTGTAGGTGCAGGAGAAGCTGCAGGTGCAGTGCCTGTGGCAGCAGCATTAGTTGGAGTGACATGGGTGGACGAGGCATCATGGGTTGACATGGTAGCTTGAGAAGATGAGGCAGCAGTGTTCCGAGCAACAACATTTGTTGGAGCAGCAGGGGTGGAAGAGGCAGAAGCAGTTGTGGTTGGCGCTGCAGCAGTGGCTTTGGCAACAGCAGGCGGGACCAAAGGGGCAGCTGGGGAGGGGTGGCGGTAGCATGGCTCCCCCAGCAGCATCTCTCGCAGACATGCCACGAGATTGACCCCTCCCGGCCATGGAATCACATACGGTGGCAGCTCCGGCTTCTTGCCCTTTCGCCTAATGCTCTTGCCACCACCAGCACCAACACCAACATTAACACCAGCACCAGAACCAGCACCAGCACCAGCACCAGAACCAGAACCAGAACCAGCACCAGCACCAGCACCAGCACCAGCACCAGCACCAGCACCAGCACCAGCACCGGCACCGGCAGCAGCACATGCAATATCACTATTTCTAGCACCATCACCACCTCCTCTGCCAGCGCTCCCGCCGCTGTCAGTACCAGCAGAAGCGCCGCTCCCCATAACTGCACCACTACCGTCGCTGCTGTTGTTGCGGCTTCTCCACGCAGCTCAAGCGCGGTCTCGCACCCTTTGTCTGATCCTCTTTGCCGCCCCTGTGTTGATCATGTTGGCCTTCCGCCTCTCCAAGTCCGCCCTCTTTTTACGCCCCTCACTGCCCATACACACCCCACTCAGACCTGAACCTGCTGATTCGCCGTCGGACTTGCTCAATGCAATGCGCATGACAGACGGCCACGCAATCGACGCCGTGTAGCACCACGACTGCAGCTCCTCCCACACCTCCCCGTCATCCTCCTCCTCCTCCTCCCCTCGTGCCGTCCCTTTCTTCCTGCCCACCAACTTCTTCACGCGGATCCCATCCCCCTCCTCCGCCCGTTTGCTCTCGAACTGCGGCAGGTCCAGAATGGAGGCAGGCCACGTGAGCGCGACGAACATGAAGAAGCCCAGGCGCTCCGCCTCGATCTCCCCACGCAGCCTGGCCAGGTTGGCCAGCGCAGGCGGGCCCGGGGGGAACGGCGACAACCCCATGGCCTTGACAAGCAAGTCGAACCCGGTGGAGTGCGGCGGGAAGACGGATAGAAAGCGGTTGACGAGGACGTGGAGGGGGCGGTAGACAAACTTGGCGACGAGAGCGATGGAAGGGACGAAGGAGGTGTAGGTGCGGTAGCAATGGATGCAGCTGGCGCATGGTGGTGGGCTCGCAATGAGGCTGGTGGCATCCACCATGAACTCCGCATCCTCCACACACCGAATGATGGGCACCTCTCCTCTCGGAGGCGGCGGCCGCACAGCAGCCATGCCCGACGCATGTGAAACGCCTCCTTGTTCTTCCCCAAACCCTCCGTTTGTATCACCACCTGTGACGTCACTTGCTTGGCCAGATGCCTTGGCTCTTCGCCCCTTCTCCTTGATGTGCTTCCGCCCACACTTTGAAATTTGTTCTCTTACCCTATGCCGGCTCTCCACTCCCGTAGCACTCTCCTCTAGAATACCCAGCCGAAAGAATCTCGCATCGGGATCATCGGGAAGCTTCGCAGCAGCTTCATCGCCCTGCGACCATTCCTCCCACTCCATAGGAAAATCAGCATCATCAAGAGGCTTGGGGATGGCGCCAAGCCTGATCAGCAGGCTTGGAAGGTCTCGAAATGGGTGGGGCATCTGCAGGATCCCTTTCTCTCTCCTACTCCTGGAGCATCCTTTCACGAAGAGGATATCTGAGCCGTAGAATCGAACCCAGTGTAAGATGCGGGCAACTCGATACGTGAAGGCTGCGAGGACAGGACTTGTGTTGACAGGCATGAGACCGGAGCCGTAGCTGCTGCCAGCGCCATCTTCTCGAGTCAAAGGTCGGGGTTCAGCTGGAGCAGCAGCACTGCTAGCAGAGGCATCCCCCATTGCTGATACTTCTGCTGCCCACTCGTGTCTGCTGCTGCCCCACTCGTGTCTGCTGCTGCCCCACTCGTTTCAACTGCTGTCCACTCTCCACTCATTCCTCCTAAAGCGCAATTTCTGCCCTTTCCACCTACCCCTCTTCTCAGCCTGCTCCCAGCCTCCTCGATTGCTGCCTCTTCCACTCTCACCTTATTGGCATTGTTCCCATCCAGCATGTACAGAACCGCCTCCATACAGCTCTCTGGGTTAGACAGCTCCAGGGCCAGAGCGAGAGCGAAATCTGTGGCGCTTACTCCACTCACATACATGCCCTTTGGAACCCCATTGAAATCCACGTCACCGCCACTGTTGCTGCTTCCCTCCTCACTGCAGTGACTGCATCTAAACTCCCTCCCTTCCCCCCCTCCATGCGCTAGTATCCAAGCCATGCCATCCACATACCTCTCCCACTCGCGCCCCTTCAGATTCTCCCTTCACTGCCCATTCTTCCCCCCTCTGCTACCCTCCCGAGGAGCTGCACTATCCGCTTCGTTGCTGCCTTTCTCTTCTCTTCTGCTCGCCTCGCTGCTATTCCTCAGTTCGCCTCTGTCCCCTTTGTCCCTCCCACCACCACCATGCACCTGTGTTGCAAACAACCATGCCAGTTCACCCCCCTGCTGCTCCTCCCTTTCCATGCCCCCACCCCTATCCATCACCTCGCCATCCGCCCGTCCCTCCTCCCCCTGCGCATTCCCAGCAGCCCCCCCCTCAGCTCCGCCCCTCCCCTCTGCGTGCGCCTTCTCCAGCCCGCCTGACAGCACATGCTGCACGAAGAACCCAAACCCTTCCTGCACCTCAGCACTCCCCTTCACCCCCAGCACCTGCACCAGCATGGACGCTAAGCAGTCGGTTTCGAACTGCCTGGCCGCCCCCAGCTGCACAACTGCCGGATAAGCGGCGGAGCTTGCAGACAGGGACACCCTTCTCAGGTTGACAACACGCGGGCACCTCGCTACAAGCACGAGGAACAAAGCGAAGCTGACAGCTCGGTGGTAGGCAGCCCAACGTGTAGCCCAGGTTCCACTAGCAGCAGCAGACCCAGCAGCTGTAGCAGGAGCAGGCGCAGTTGTAGCAGCATGATCTGTGGCGGCCAGAATGGCAGGCAGGCGGGATCTGATCCTCCCCAGGTCCATGAGCACGCCCACACGAGGCTCAGCCATCCACTCGAGAATCATCGCCTCGGCACAGCGCATGGGCGCCACCACACACTTGACGCCCAACACCGGCTGAGGCGGCGAGCCGTCCAGAGGCTTCATGTGCACCCCTGCAGAGTACTCAGCAATGGCGCCGGATGGATGGATGAAAGGGACAAGCGGGATGGAGTCAGGCAGGCGGGTGAGAAGGAGGGATCGGAATGCTGCCAGGCCCACCATGCGAAGTGCGAGCTGAGCGCAGTAGCTAACGGCGCGGTCGAAGCAGCACTCGCACTCCTGCCGGTCCCACGCGTCCCTCACATCCACGTAGTGCACCATGTCTTCCCGCGACAGCACCTGAAGCTTCTCGGATCCCTCTTTAGCCCCTGCTCTCCTGCCGCACCTTCTTTGTTGCCGCGCTGCCACCCCTGATTCGCCCTCTTTTCCGTGGGGAAGGCTCTCCGTCATCATGTTCAATCGCTGTACAGATTCCAAATCCCACTCCTCGTCGTCGCTGCTCCTTCTCTCCTCAGTCTGGGGAGCGGAAGCAGGCACACTCACAGCCGAAAATGCAGCAACAGGTAAATCCAATGAAGTCTCCCCCACCCGCCCCCCAACTTCATCGCCAACTGTTTCCCCCGTGCACTGCTCTGCATCGCTCTTATTTCTTGCTTACGCTGCCTACTCTGACACATTCGAGGCGGAGTCTAAACCTGGAGCAGGTTCCCTCGACGTTAGCGCCTCGGAGTTTGTGCAGTACGGATGTCAGGCAGTGTCGAGCGAGGTGAACCGTCGGATATCCCCAAGTCCTAAATCTGACAGTTCAACTCTTGACAAATTTCGACGCCTACGGATGCCCATCCTGGTCTGGCGACACAAGATTCGTTGTAACATTTGTTATCCAGGGTGGCGTATAAGTCTACATTCATAGTACTCATTTTATGAATATAGTGAATAAGCTTGGAGTGGATTGTGTCTGCCATAAATAGCTCCGCTGCGCCTTGTGAAGCATACCTATTGTTCTGCTTCAGCAACGATCACAGATTACAATTCATTACAACTCTATAAAGAAACTGTATTCTGTCATGAAGCTAAGCCCAAAACCATCCTCAATGATCATGGCTTAAACTAGATTAGATAGTCCAACACAAGTTGGACATGATCCTTCAGAGATGGTGTAAAAAATAACGAGACCGAGCCACAGCGGTGGGAATAGTCCGAGTAGCGACACGACGATGGGCAGGCGGGCCATGGGAGACGCTTGTCATGCAGGGGCATGATTCGTCACCAACAGTCTCGCTTCTTTTATTTTGATTTCCAGTCGTTTGTTTATTCGCTAGAGTTTAAGAGCATGTGAGGCGTGTTGGCCGCAGAGGGGTGTGAGCCAGAGGTCGAGGATGGCGAGGGTGACGGGCCAGGCGTAGTGCGTGCTGTCGGGGCACAGGTCTGGACGCGGGAGAGTCAGCCCCATCATGCCCACCGCACTGGGTGCCCCGGGCTGGGTGGACGGTAGGCGCCTGACAGGGGATTTGCAAGAGGGAGAGGGGTGTTGGGGGGGGATGGAGAGGGCAGAGGGAGGAAGATGGGCCAGGCGTAGTGTGTGCTTCTGGTGTGGGCAGAGCCACGTTCATCATGCCCCGCGCAGTGCGCTCACTGGGAGGCCCGGGCTGTGTGGAACGGGCCTGAGAGGGAGCAGGAAGGAGGGGGATGAGGCGGGCGGCAATGAGCAGCATCATGGGCAGGGCGGTGGGGTGGGTTCTCCATGCGGTTGAAGAGGAAGCAGTGCGGTGCGACGGTGGAAGGTGTGGTGAAGAGGAATGACATGGCGCCGACAGTGGCAGCATACCCGCACACCGGGGCGCTTTGGGGCGCTGTTGGAAATGAAGAATGTGAGCCAGTATAGACAGATGAGCCTCGTGGGACTGCGGCACCTGACCGCACGTGATGTGAAGGCATGCAAGTGTACCCAGCAGCGCACCTAAGGAGCTCGTGTTCAAACGCCATGCCCCGTGCGTTGTTGCTGACGGCGATGAACTCGGGTGGCTTGCTGTCCTCCCTCGCCGCCCACGGGCCCAGCACTGCCACGGCTGAGCGGTCCCTCATGGCTGCTCGCAGCGGGGGCAGCAGGTTGGACTCTGCATGGTGGGAGGCATGGCGCAGCGGAAAGACACAAGGGGAGGTGAGCCCACTGACCGATACAGTTGCTGCTGAGGGGTGCTGGGGGGTCTGCCATGACGGCTGGGGGTCGGCCATGACTGCTGGGGGTCTGCCATGATGCTCATGACATTGCAACGCGCCTCACCTAAACCCTTCTTCCATCTCTCCTTAACCCCCCAGGCGGACACCTACCCAGCAGGGCACCTACCCAGCAGGGCACCTACCCAGCAGAGCACCGAAGGAGTGGGGGGTGGGTTGCTGGATGAGGTCGTGCAGAGTGGTGCCCACCAGCGCCATGTCATACTCGCCCTGCCGCGCCATGTCATACTCGCCCTTCCGCGCCATGTCATACTCGCCCTTCCGCGCCATGTCATACTCTCCCCCACGCCCCTCCCTGCCACTGCTGCCACCCCTGCTGCTCCCAGCGCTGCTGCCCTCCCCACTGCTGCTGCTGCTGCTACTGCTGCTGTCCCCAGTGCTGGTAATGCTCGCATCGCTGGTGCTCGCATCGCTGGTGCGAGCAGCGGTGCTCTCATCATGGCGCGAGGCAAAGAGGGCGAGAGCGGGCCCCACGAGGGCGAGGTCGCTCATCCAGGCGGGGAACACGGGCTTCATGGCACCGCACTGGGACACGTACGTCAGGTTGAACGCCCAGGGGGGGCTGCCCGCTGCTGCTTTCACCTTGTACCTGGTGGGGCGGGTGCGGAGGGTGGGGCGGCAGAGCGGTCAGACAGGGGCGGGAAGGACGGAGATGGGAACACGGGCTTCATGGCACCACACTGCGACACGTACGTGAGGTTGAAGGCGGAGGGGGGGCTGCCTGCTGCTGCTTGCACCTTGTACCTGGTGGGTGGGTGGGTGGGTGGGTGGGTGGGTGGGTGGGTGGGTGGGTGGGTGGGTGGGTGGGTGGGTGGGTGGGTGGGTGGGGCACAGTGGGTGGGTGGGTGGGTGGGCGGGTGGGTGGGTGGGGCACAGTGGGTGGGTGGGTGGGTGGGGCACAGTGGGTGGGAGGCAGGGCCGCTCATCCTCGCGGGGAACATGGGCTTCACGGCGCCACAGTGCGAGATGTAGGTGCTGTTGCTGGCCTGCCCGCTGCTGCCCGCACCGCACCTTGTACCTGGTGGGACGGGTGGGACGGTTGGGACGGGCGGGGCAGGGCAGGTGGGGCGGGTGGGAGGGGCGAGGTGGGACACCGGGGTGGAGTGGGCGGCAGGAGGGTGAGAATGCGGAATGGGATGGGTGGGATGGGACGGGACACAACGGAACAAGATTGCGTGAGATGGGATGTGTGGGTACAGCACGTACAGGGCGCGGCCATAGCCGTTGAAGTTCTCCCCGTGGAAGAAGAAAGAGCAGCCCGGCTGCTGACACACGCCCGTGGAGATCAGCTCGCCCGTGCTGCTGCTCACTGGCGGGTAGATGGACCCGTTGCCACGTGGCACACTGCCACAGGCCAGCATGTTGGGCCAAAACACCTGTGTGGGAGAGTGTGCGGCGAGGGGAGCGGGAAGCAGAACCGAAAGCATGGTGTGGGGGGGGAGGTGTAGGTAGGTAGTGGGTAATGAGAGGCAGTGGTGGCGGAAGTGGATAAAGACAAAGGAGAAAGAGGGGAACAAGAAAGTAAGAAAAGGAGAGAGGAAACTGCAGAAACGAGTTATCCAGCAGCCTCCACACCTGAATGTGCAGAAACACATTACATAGCTTGCGCTTGGCGCCTCATCCAGATTGTGAGCCTCACCTTGGGCTTGCCTCCTCACCTTGGGCTTGCCTCCTCACCTTGGGCTTGCCTCCTCACCTTGGGCTTGCCTCCTCACCTTGGGCTTGCCTCCTCACCTTGGGCTTGCCTCCTCACCTTGGGCTTGCCTCCTCACCTTGGGCTTGCCGGCGAACTTGGTGAGGAAGGCGGCGCGCGAGGGGAAGCGGAGGAGGAAGCGCAGGAAGCCAAAGGTGTAGCGCAGCTGGGAGTCGCCGAGGAACAGCAGCGAGCGACCGTTGAAGCAGGCATGCAGCGCGGGGGGGGAGAGGCGGCGCAGGCGACACGCGTGGGGCTGCCAGAGGTGGCCCATCCAGTAGCCCGCGTGGTGGGATGCCGCTAGGAGGGGGGGTGTACAAAAAGGCAGGGTGGCTCTGAGTGGGGAGAGGTGGGTGGGGGAGGGGGAGGGGGGATGGGAGGAGGAGGGGGAGGGGGAGGGAGAGGGGGAGGGGAAGGGGTAGGGGAAGAGGGAGGAGGTGGAGAGAGAGGAGAGGTGGCATTGTGAATTAATAGTATTGCAGCTTGGGGCGGCTGGTAGAAGCACGCGTGCATGGCGGGGAGGGAGAGGCGGTGCAGGCGGCACGCGTGGGGCTGCCAGAGGTGGCCCATCCAGTAGCGGGAGTGGTGGGATGCGGTGAGGAGCGGTGGCATGCAGTATGGCAGGGCGGCTCTGGACGGGGGGGACTTCTGATACATCTCAAAAGGCTATGAATGGGGGGGAGAGAGATGGGAGAGAGATGAGATGAGGCACGTATGGGACTACCAGATGTGGCCCGCCTAGAGGTGGTGGGATGCGGTTAGAGGCGGTGGTGTGCAGTAAGGCAGGGAGGCTCTGAAAGGGGGGAGGAAGAGGGGATTTGAGGAATTGGAGGGTGGAAGGATGGGTGTAGAGATGAAGAGCGGATGCGAGGGGAACGCGGACGAGGGAGGAGGAAGCGAGTTTGTGGCAGAGAAGCCAGTGGGAGGCGAAGCACGAGGCACGGAGGGAAGCACAGAGGTATTGAGGGACGGGAATAAGGCATGAGGGGGGTTATGCGATGGAGGAGGCTCCTCGAGAAATGGTTTTGGGCCAGCAGAGCGGTATGATCAGAAATGTGTGCGGTGGGGGGCAGTGAAGAGAGGTGGTAGGCTACGAGAGAGCTTTGTGAGGTAAGAGAGAGGGGGGAGGGGTGGGGGAGATGGGATGGGGTGAGCAGAGTGAGGTAACTAGAGGGCGTTGAAGAGAGGCGAGGACAGGTGCGACACACTGCAGCAGTCCCCTGTACGCCCCATGGCACGGCATGGCATGGCATGGCATGGCATGGCACGGCATGGCATGGCATGGCATGGCATGGCATGGCACGGCATGGCATGGCATGGCATGGCACGGCACGGCACGGCATGGCATGGCATGGCACGGCATGGCATGGCATGGCATGGCATGGCATGGCATGGCATGGAATGGCATGGCATGGCATGGCATGGCATGGCATGGAATGGCATGGCATGGCATGGCATGGAATGGCATGGCATGGCATGGCATGGCATGGAATGGCATGGCATGGCATGGCATGGCATGGCATGGCATGGCATGGCATGGCATGGCATGGCATGGCATGGAATGGCATGGCATGGCATGGCATGGCATGGCATGGCATGGCATGGCATGGAATGGCATGGCATGGCATGGCACGGCATGGCATGGCATGGCATGGCATGGAATGGCATGGCATGGCATGGCATGGCATGGCATGGAATGGCATGGCATGGCATGGCATGGCATGGCATGGCATGGCATGGCATGGCATGGAATGGCATGGCATGGCATGGCATGGCATGGCATGGCATGGAATGGCATGGCATGGCATGGCATGGCATGGCACGGCATGGCATGGCATGGCACGGCACGGCATGGCACGGCACGGCATGGCATGGCATGGCATGGCATGGCATGGCACGGCACGGCATGGCATGGCATGGCACGGCATGGCACGGCACGGCATGGCATGGCATGGCATGGCATGGCATGGCACGGCACGGCATGGCATGGCACGGCATGGCATGGCATGGCACGGCATGGCATGGCATGGCATGGGATGGCATGGCATGGCATGGCATGGGATGGCATGGCATGGCATGGCATGGGATGGCATGGCATGGCATGGCATGGGATGGCATGGCATGGCATGGCATGGGATGGCATGGCATGGCATGGCATGGCATGGCAAGGGATGGCATGGCATGGCATGGCATGGGATGGCATGGCATGGCATGGCATGGGATGGCATGGCATGGCATGGCATGGCAAGGGATGGCATGGCATGGCAAGGGATGACATGGCATGGCATGGCAAGGGATGGCATGGCACGGCATGGCAAGGGATGGCATTGCATGGCATGGCAAGGGATGGCATGGCATGGCACGGCACGGCATGGCATGGCATGGCATGGCATGGCATGGCATGGCATGGCATGGCAACGCACCTGTGTGCGTGAAGGGAGAAGGTGGGCGGCGCCGATGCTTGAATGGCCTGCGAGTGCACCACGGTGTAGCTGCAGGTGGAGGGAATGGGGGAGGGAAGGAGAGGAATCGAATGAATGGGAAGCGATGAAGGGGAATTGATGTACCGAGTGCATGTTGACTTGGGGATGCCACGCATGCACCCATGCATGCCCCCACGCATACACCCATGCATACCCCCACACATGCCCCCATGCATGCCCCCATGGATGCTCCCACGCATGGCCCCACGCTTGCACCCATGCATGCACCCATGAGTGTGGCCTCTCAGAGTCAGTTGTTTCACAACCCTCCAAGGCAGTTGCGTGAACCTGCACACCCCTTGACTCTCTCCCCCCCTCCTTTCCCCCGCCCTCCGCCTCACTTTTTAAGCCCCAGTGGGGGTGCCCCTTCCATCCTCCCCACACAACCCCCAACCCCCTCGTTCCCCTACCCAACCCCCTTCCCCATCCCCCCCCGCGCCTCACTTGGAGAACCCCCCATCGAAGGAGGTGCGGGCGTTGGAGCGCAGGAGGAGGGCGGTGGCGGAGAAGAGCAGGTGCAGGGAGAGGGTGTAGCGGCCCGGCAGGGGCAGCTGGTAGCACACCTGGGGGTGGGAGGGGGAGGGATGGGAGGGGATGGGAGGGGATGGGAGGGGGTGGGAGGGGGTGGGAGGGGATGGGAGGGGATGGGATGGGAGGGGATGGGAGGGGATGGGAGGGGATGGGAGGGGGTGGAGGGGGTGGGAGGGGATGGGAGGGGATGGGATGGGAGGGGATGGGAGGGGATGGGAGGGGATGGGAGGGGATGGAGGGGATGGGAGGGGATGGGAGGGGATGGGAGAGGATGGGAGGGGATGGGAGGGGATGGGAGGGGATGGGAGGGGATGGGAGGGGATGGGAGGGGATGGGAGGGGATGGGAGGGGATGGGAGGGGATGGGGTGGGATGGAAGCGCAGATGGCGGGCGAGGTGGGAGAAAGTAGAGGCAGGTGAGAGGAGGAGAGGCGCAGCAGGCACAGAGGGCGCGACGAGCGGACGGGTAGAGTAGCCTCGATGTGATGGCATGGCGGAGAGGAGGGATGCCTGGGGGGGAGGGGGAGGGACGGCTGGGGGGGAGAGACGGCTGGGGGGGAGAGACGGCTGGGGGGAAGGGATGCGTGGGGTGGGAGGGACGCGTGAGGTGGGAGGGACGTGTGGGGTGGGATGGTTGCGAGGGTGTTCACCTGGTGCGACGAGTTGCGAGGGTGGTACGTCACACGTGCTGCCATGCGCACATCCACATCCACACCCGCCCCTTCCTCCACCCCCGCCTGCTCCGCGTGTTCCCCTGTCTCCCCACCCTCCCCATGTCCTCCCTCCCCACCCTCCCCCCTCTGTTCTCGCTCCTCCAGCAGCACGGCGGCCCGCCCAGCAGCGGCCCTCTCATGCGCGCTCACAGCCACCGGCACCTCCGTCACGCGCGCACTGCCCTGCACCGCCACACCCGCGCTGCTCCCACTGCTGCTACCGCCGCTGCCACTGTCCCCCTCGTGGGCATGAGTGCGGCTGTCGGTGCTGCCCTGGCCGTGCTGCAGCGCGATCAAGGCCACCAGAAAGGCCCTCTGCCTGGCGGGGGACAGGCGAGACAATTTAGTCAGGTTTTGAATAGGGGTGACACGAAAAGGGAACGTGAGGGCAGGAGCAACAAGGGAAGGAAGGGGCGGAGGCACGAAAGAATGGATGATGATGATTGGTGGGTGCAGAGAGATGCGATGGGAAGGAGACAGACACACGAACACAGCGAGATGCATGGGCACAGCGAGATGCATGGGCACAGCGAGATGCATGGGCGCAGCGAGATGCATGGGCACAGCGAGATGCATGGGCTCAGCGAGATGCATGGGCACAGCGAGATGCATGGGCACAGCGAGATGCATGGGCACAGCGGGATGCATGGGCACAGCGAGATGCATGGGCACAGCGAGATGCATGGGCTCAGCGAGATGCATGGGCACAGCGAGATGCATGGGCACAGCGAGATGCATGGGCACAGCGAGATGCATGGGCACAGCGAGATGCATGGGCACAGCGAGATGCATGGGCACAGCGGGATGCATGGGCACAGCGAGATGCATGGGCACAGCGAGATGCATGGGCTCAGCGAGATGCATGGGCACAGCGAGATGCATGGGCACAGCGAGATGCATGGGCACAGCGAGATGCATGGGCACAGCGAGATGCATGGGCACAGCGAGATGCATGGGCACGGCGAGATGCATGGGCACGGCGAGATGCATGGGCACGGCGAGATGCATGGGCACGGCGAGATGCATGGGCACGGCGAGATGCATGGGCGCAGCGAGATGCATGGGCGCAGCGAGATGCATGGGCGCAGCGAGATGCATGGGCGCAGCGAGATGCATGGGCACAGCGAGATGCATGGGCACAGCGAGATGCATGGGCACAGCGAGATGCATGGGCACAGCGAGATGCATGGGCACAGCGAGATGCATGGGCACAGCGAGATGCATGGGCACGGCGAGATGCATGGGCACGGCGAGATGCATGGGCACGGAGAGATGCATGGGCACAGCGAGATGCATGGGCACAGCGAGATGCATGGGCACAGCGAGATGCATGGGCACAGCGAGATGCATGGGCGCATCGAGATGCATGGGCGCAGCGAGATGCATGGGCACAGCGAGATGCATGGGCACAGCGAGATGCATGGGCACAGCGAGATGCATGGGCACAGCGAGATGCATGGGCACAGCGAGATGCATGGGCACAGCGAGATGCATGGGCACAGCGAGATGCATGGGCACAGCGAGATGCATGGGCGCAGCGAGATGCATGGGCGCAGCGAGATGCATGGGCACAGCGAGATGCATGGGCACAGCGAGATGCATGGGCACAGCGAGATGCATGGGCACAGCGAGATGCATGGGCACAGCGAGATGCATGGGCACAGCGAGATGCATGGGCGCAGCCATGGCTTATTGGCAGCAGCGGCCTACGCCTACCTGCACCCGTTGTCAAATGGCCTTCCGTTGGCGTCCAGTGCTGCACGCCGCACACACAGAGGAGAGCAAGAATGGTTGACAAGGCAGGAAGCGCTGGAGGTGAAGTGAGATGAAGTGAGCTGAGGTGAGGTGAGGTGAGGTGAGGTGAGGTGAGGTGAGCTGAGCTGAGCTGAGCTGAGCTGAGGTGAGGAGAGGTGAGGTGAGGTGGGGTGAGATGTTATGAGCTGAGGTGAGGTGAGATGAGATGAGATGAGATGAGATGAGATGAGATGAGGTGAGGTGAGGTGAGGTGAGGTGAGATGAGATGAGATGAGATTGCGGAGATAACTCTAGTAACGGGAGCTAGACTACGGGCTAGGCACGGGTGCTTGTGTGATCTCTGCGTTCGTTGGTCCTTAGTCGTTTTCCTAGTGCACACACTGCTTGCTAGTTCACAAGGCAATTTGGCAAGAGTTTCACTAGAGAAAGTTGACAACAATGATACAATGAAGTTGGCTAGGAAAGACTACATCAGAGCTAGGATGCAAGCAGGTCGACTGCCAGCGCAGCACGGTCGACCGCGTGCCAGCACGACTTGGTCGACCGCGCTCCAGCAGTGCAGAGACGCGGCTTGCCAACGCTGCAGGTCGACGGCGTGACAACAGCGCAAGTCGACGGCGTGCCAGCGTTGCTCCTGCAGTCCAGCATCGCACCCGCTTCGCAGGTGCTTGTAGATGATTGGCATGCACTGCTTCATCACCTGCACACACCAAGTCCACCTCGTGCTGACGACTGCATCTGATGCACCACGTCGACCTCGGGATACCATCACCGAGGTCGTCCTCGCCAAAACCACCTGGGCGACCATCGCAAGCCTTCGCAGCACCCAGGTAACCCAGGTAACCTGGTCGACCTTGCAACCAGGTCGACCAGAGGCTCCAGTGCGTGCCCGTCGACCACCCAGGTCGACGACCACTCCCAGTCGACCTCCCCAGGTCGACCACTATCCCCTGGTTGACCAGCTGCAAGTCGACGTCCCAGGTCGACCAGAAGGGCTGGTCGACGTCCCAGGTCGACCAGCCGAAGTTGGCGCCCTCCCGACGTCGGCGCCCATGCAGTGGCTCCCCGTGCAGGTCGACCAACCTCGTCGACCAACTCGCCCACTGCTGCAGGTCGGCTGCACCCTACACCCGACCACGAAGTCGGCTCCGCCCAAGCGAGGACGGGGCCAACACCCAACTCCCGTTGACACTCCCCTGCCGCGTTCACGCTTGGGCCTCCAGCCCCTACGGCAGCACTGCTCGGAGAACAGCTCGTCGACGTGCACCCAACACACAGCACGTCGTCCACCGCACCAGCCATGCAGGAGGGCATGGCACCTACTGCTGCACGTTGTCGTCGCCGCAGCCCACGTCGGCCAGACGCACTTGGCCGATGGCGACGGAGCACCGGTTGAAGGCCGGATAGTGCAGCGCCTTCGTGAGGAAGTCGGCCGGCTGCTCAGCGGTCGGGATGTACTGCAGCGCAAACTTCCCCCGCTTCACCATGTGCTGCAGCCAGGCCTGTCGCCGTTCCATGTGCTTGAGGTTGCCCGTCAACCCCATGCCTTCGGCGACTGTGATGGCCGACTTGTTGTCCACCCGAAGGACGGTCGGCTTCCCAGCATCCAGCTGCTGGAACTCTGCGAGGAGGAAGCGAAGTCGGCGTCCCTCCTTGCCGGCTTCGACGGCCGCCACGTACTCCGACTCGGTCGACGACAGCGTCGCGCACTTGATGCGCTGGCTCGACCAGGAGACCGCGGCCCCTCCGTAGACGAACACGTAGCCGCCCGTGCTCGTCCTGCTCTGCTTGTCACCGGCGTCGTCGGCGTCCACGTAGCCGACCAGCTCTAGCGACTCAGGTCCACCGCCAAACTCCAGGGCGGTGTCGCGCGTGTTGGCGAGGTAGGCGAGGCAGCGGTCGACCTCGCGCCAGTGCTGGTCGCTCCTCACCGTGAGGCCGCTCCCCAGCTTGCTGCAGGCGAAGGCGATGTCTGGCCTCGTCGTCGTCGCCGCGAACTGCAGCGAGCCGACCTTCTGCCGGTACTCCTCCTCCTGTCGCTCCTGCGCCTCCTCGTCGTCGAAGGTGAGCTCGGTGTAGGCGTCGACCGAGACCGGCGTCTTCGGAGTCCGTCCGCCCTGCTCCTCGTCGATGAAGCGCCTACGCAGCTTGTCGGCGTAGCCCTGCTGGTGCAGCCACAGCTTCCCCGCCGACCTGTCGCGCACGATCTCCAGCCCGAGGTACTTCTGCACCGGCAAGATCTCGCGCAGCTCGAAGGCGGCCTCCAGTAGCTCCTTCAGCTGCTTCAGCATCTCGGGGCTGCTGCTGGCGGCGAGCAGGTCGTCGACGTAGACCAGCACCCAGCAAGTCGCTCCGTCGTCGCCGACCTTGAAGTAGAGAGCCTCGTCGACCTGGCTCTTCTTCCATCCAGCGCCGACCAGCACGTCGTTGAGTGCCAAGTACCACAGCAGCGGCGACTGCTTCAGCCCGTACAGGCTCTTCAGCAGCTTGCACACCCGGCCGGTTCCGTCGTTGAAGTAGTCCGGCTGCGACATGTACAGCACCCGGTCGAGCTTGCTCTGCAGGAAGGCGTTCTTCATGTCGAGCTGCATCAGGTTGAGGTTGAGCACGGCGACGATGCTGAGGAAGATCCTCAGCGTCACGTAGCTGCCCACCGGCGCGAACGTCTCGTCGTAGTCGGCGCCGTACACCTGCGTGAAGCCCTTCACGACCAGCCTCGCCTTCTCGCGCTCGACGGTGTCGTCGATGTGGTACTTCGTCGTCAGCACCCACCGGTTCTTCATGACGTTCACTCCCGGCGGGCGTTCGACCAGCTCCCACGTCCCCATGGCGATGAGACTGCGGATCTCCTCCTCCATGGCGGCCTTCACCGCCGGACCCTTCCAGCTCGCCAACGCCTCCTTCACCGTCATCGTCGAGATGTCCCAGCGGTGCTCGGGGTCGGCCAGCATGTCGGGGTCGAGCTCCGGGAACTCTTCGTCCTCGTCGGCGTCGTCGTACAGTAGGTCGTCGTCCTCGTCGACCACGTCATACACCGTGGTGAAGGCGGCGGGAACGAAGAAGTCGGGAGGCCTCCGAAGTCGACCTGACTTCCGGGGTTCAGGCGGGACCACCACCACGTCCCGGTCGGTGGACTGGTCGACCACCTTCTGGTCGACCGGCTCCTCGTCGCCCAACTGCTCCCCTTCATCTTCACCGCCGTCCTCGTCGCCCTGTTGCACCTCGGTCGGCTTCCCGGTCGACTGCTCCCCTGTGGTCAGCTCCCTTGTCCACCGCCAGGTCGCCGACTGCTCCTGGGTCGACCTCGTTGCTGCCTGCTCCCCTGTCGGCTTCACCCAAGTCGGCTGCACCTCCTCGACCTGCTCTTCCCCTATCCAGGTCGACTGCACCCCCATGTCGACCTGCTGCACGTCCCGTCGGCCACCGGCGATGCCCTTGGTCGGCGCCACAGGCGACGCCCCACTACTCCCCTCATCGCCGGAGGCCGACGGCGGAATCAGCCCACGCAGGTCGACGAGGGGAGGGGCAGGGGAGTGAGAGGAAGGGTGGACGACCTCAACGTCGTCCTCAGCAAGCTCACCGACCTCGGCGAGCAGAGGGAGAGTTGCCGTCGAGGTATTAGTCGGCGTGGCCACCGGCGTCCGCCCAGACGTCGGCCCATGCTCCGACTTCCACTCCTCCAGCGACAGGTCCTCGTAGAACACCACGTCCGACGTGGTGACCACCCGGTTGGCAGCAATGTCGAGGAGCTCCCAGCCCTTGCTTGCCTCCGACACGCCAAGGTGGAGGCCCCATTTGGCTTTCGGCTGCAGCTTCCCACCACGCTGCTGCTCGGGGACGAGGAACTGCGCCATGCAGCCCCACACTCGCGCCAGTGACAAGTCGGGCTTCGTCCCGGTCAGCAGCTGGGATGGCGTCGTCCCCGGCGTCGCCGACCGCTCCAAGCAGTTGCGGATCCAGACGGCCTGCCGCAGAGCGAGGTGCCACCAGTGGTGCTGCACGCCCATGTGCAGCAGCATCGTCCTCACCGACTCCACCACCGTCCGCATCTCCCTCTCCGCCATGCCGTTCTGCTGCGGGGTGTAGGGGCAGGTTAGGTCGTGGACGATCCCCTTGCCGTCCACGAAGGCGGTGAAGGCCTTGCCGAGGAACTCCCCACCTCGGTCCGAGCGCAGCATCAGCACCGACTTCTTCGTCTGCCTCTCCACCAGCACCAGCCACTTTTGGATTCCAGCAGCACGTCCGACTTCTTGGCGACTGGCCTCACCCACACGAAGCGGGTCTTGCGGTCCTTCAGCAGCAAGAAGTACAGGCTACCGTCCTTGGCAGCCACGCGGAACGGCCCACACAAGTCGATGTGGACGACGGCTAGCACGTCGGCGGCGTCGGAGCCTTGGTCGGGGAAGGTGTGCCGCGCCAGCTTCCCGCCGACGCACGAGACACACGGTGGGTCGGCGCCCGTCGCCGACTTGAGGTCCAGCCCAATGGCGACCTCGTTCTTCGCCGAGCTCCTGATGGTGTCCATGCCGACGAGCATGCATCCTGTCTGGCGTCGACTTCGTCTTGGAGACGATCGCCCGCAGGGCCACAACCTCCGGCGTGGGCGACGTCGACCTCGTTGAGCAGGGACGCAGGTCGGTGCAGAGGACTCGCCCGGAGTACGTCGCCCGACCAAGCACCTCTCCCGCTGCCGAGATGAGCAGCACACCATCGCCGTCCTCCTGAAACTTCACGCCATGCTCCTTCAGCTGGCCGGACGACAACAGGTTGGCCCGCACACCCGGGACGTACAGCACGTCGGGGATGAGAACCTGCTTCCCGGCCTCGCCTTGCAAGGCGACCGTGCCCCGGCCTTGGACGTCTTGCAGCGCCCCATTGAAGCCACGCACGTGCTTCAAGTCGCCGCTCGGCCCCAGGTCGACGAAGGCGTC